TCTGGTAATATAGGAACTATGGCTTTTTAAGAGCAAAATCAGTTATTCATAGAAAATCTAGTTTTAGGAGAATAACAAGGTTTACTTTATGTGCCCACCTCCCTTTTCACTTTGGGAATTCTTTGATGGTCTTTTTTTTTTTTTTTTTTTTTTGTGAGAGCAAGTGTAATGCATTTGAAAATATTAAGTGGCAAACTTGAAAGGTGTTGGACTGGACTTGTAAGACTTCCCTGACTATATCTGCCAAAGTCAGTTAATGGTTTGCAGACTCTGGTCTGTAGTATAATCTCTTTATGATGTGTATGGCATGAAGAAGAATCTGTTTCCTCCAAGTCTCTGAGTTCGTGAGACCACTCACCACCTAACAGCTTCATTCTCTTCCCCCCTCATCGTTCTCTTCCCTCCCTTTTTTTTGGCTCTCCCCTTTATAGCTTATATGTAGCCATTATGGATAACTCTTTAGCCTAAAGAAAAATAGAAACCTTTTCTTTCTCCCTTTTTCTTCATGGCTGGGGAAGAAGCTCTTAAACTTTATAGGGAGGAGGGGCTGGACACTCATCTTCTATTACAATTCTATTTGGACTTGACAATATGGCATAGAAAGAGAACACAGGCTTTGGAATTGCATAGACTTGAGTTTAAATTAAAAATTTGCTATTAACTGAATCCTTGGGAAATTCTTCAACTATGAGTCTGTTTTCTCCTTTGCAATAAAACTTACTTCCTTAGTGTTGTTAAAGATTGTCAGGATAATAAACATAAAACATTCAGTAATTGCTAGTTTTCACGTTTGCTTTCTCCTTGGTAATAAACTGCTAAGGCCTCTTATAAGGATTCAGAACTTTCTACAACAGATGTGTAAGGCTGTGAGGACTGTCAGGCTTTAGAGAAGTGTCCTCTGTCCCAGAAACACTGGTCTAGGTGGGACCTCCTAGTAAATAGAGTTAGAGTAGGGAAACCAGCTTATCCGCTCCTTAGAACTCGGTTATGTTCTCGATCGAGTTAATTCCATGTACTAGTTCACAAAATAGTTTGGGGCTGAGACAGTGCCATGAAGTAATATAATTGGAAGATAGAAACTAACTCTTAAAACAACTTAATACCTCACATTTGTGTAACATACATGATCTCACCTGGACCTCACAGCTTCTGAATGAACTGGGCTGGTGGTATCCGGATCTTACATACAAGAACATAACAGGGACTTACTGCGTTGTTGGCTAGTGGCAGAGCCAGGACCGAGAGCGAGCCTTCTGAGTTGTAGTCTATCCCATATCACCTCTGCTTCAGCCCTCTTTCTGGCAGAAAATCTCCCCCATGCTATTAGACCTAGGTATCTGATCTTTTCTTTCTACTTAACTGTGCTTGCTGCTCTCTTGGTCTCCAAATTCAAGCCAGGTGGTCAGTTTAAGACTATAAAGATAAAAGGAGCTAATGCTTCTCCCAGATACTACTTTCTGACCTAGAGCCTTGGGTATTTTTCTTCCTTCCTTTCTAACCCCCTTTTATTGAATTAAAGTTGAGGAGGAAAAAAAAAAAAAAAGGCCACTTATGGTGTGGTATCTAACAGTTTCTTTTTGCAGCAGAGAATGTTGTCACTGTGTATGCCCTATGGTAGTGGTAGTTTGGGCTTTTATTAGCAATGAAGATTACAGAGTGCAAGCTGCCGGAGTAGTAACTATAGTTTAGGTCCTATTGAACTTCAGTTACTAGAGCTCAGAGTCCTTTTGGTGTGGAGGGTTCATAGGTTATTATATACAGTGGATGAAGGCAGGTGCTTAAAATGGGGGGAGGGGAATGGAGATGAAAGTGGAGCAACTGGTTTAAAAAAATAGAATTTTAATTTAAAAAATGTCTTTGAGTGGACTGTTGGAATGTACTGTGGGGATATGAAAAAGTGGCAGTGGGCTTTGTACTGAGTCGATAAGTTATTGTTGGCGTCCAGAGCTGGCGTAGGAGGAATTTAGAGAAAGGCTACCATGTTCCTGGGTTTAGGGACTGAATTAATTTAGGAGTTTAATTGGTACCTGTTTACCAGTTTCTTCTCAGTACTCTTGCTTGCTGAATACTGCATATATATTCTAAGGCAAACAGGCCCAAGCTTTTGTGCTTGGTGGGGCTCTGGAGAGCGTGGGAAAGGGAACTGAAGCAAAAGGCTCCGTCTAGGCCAGTCCCCACATGTCTTCCCCACTACGGCTATTGCATTGGTTTCTCAATGTCTTTGTGGGCATGCTGGGACTGGGCTTTGAGGTTTCTGCCTTAGGGGTGGGAAAGAGGGGGAAGGGCATTCCAACCACAAAAAAATTAGGTTTTTCTTCTCCAATTTGGTTGTTGGGACTAGTGGGTAAATGGGTTTTTATCCACATCGTAACCTGTTCCTGGTTCTGTATGGAAGTACAAGTGCAGGAACTCTTGACATGACAGTGGAAGCCAAGTTTTGATGAAAACTACATCTAAGGCCCAGGTATCTGAACACAGCATAGTCCAAAGGACATTTGTCACATTAAGCAATTTCAAGTCATATTTCAATTACTCCTTTCATTTCCAATACCTCCTCTTGTTCCTCTTGTTTTCATATGTTGGGTATATTTTATTTTCCTTATTCCCATTTTTTCTCCAAATATTTCTACAGCTCTCTCCTTCCTGCTTCCTCCTTGCTGTGGTGGCTGGGATGCTTCTTCCATGATTTTTTGAATCTAGACTGGGCTGTTCTCTGTTAAACCAATCAATCACGACCTCTTAACAGGTGTGTATGGAAATATGTTTATTAAGAATAAAAAAAACTTTTTGAGTGACTTATTCTCCTAAGGGGTTGATGAGAGGGTGGGGAATAGAGGAAATTATTTCTCCCAAACCTGCCTTTCAACATTGGATATTTTGGACTAGCCATAAAGTCTCTAACTATGAGAGAAAACCCATTAAGTCCAACAGTATGACTGTAATGCCTCTTCATTTACTAGCCAACTTGCTGTTTATAGAATAAGAGTATGGGGAACTCTTCATTTTTACATAACTGTCATTTATTATATAAAATAGTACACAGAAACCCTGTAGATACGTGGATATTTATCCGGAGTTGGAATAAGTAAAGGATAAAGAGCTTTCTGTAGGATTACAGAGGTGTAGGAAGTTCTAGTCATTGAACTCTGGAGGTTAGGATATGAACTAATGCTTTTTTCTACTCTTAGATAAGGTGAAGTTCTCTGAAAACAACGTGCCTTTTTTTTTTTTTTTTAAATTATTTTACTTTTTATTTCTTAATTTGACCAGAGAGGGAAAACGGGAAAGGGAAAGTGAGAAAGCAAGCCACCAGATCTGGGACTCGAACCGCGATTGGCCTTGTGAGAGTCTAGTTCCTTAGCCACCATGCCACCTGTGGGCCCACGATGTGCCTTTTTACACATGAAGTGTTCTGTGAGTCAGTAGCTTTTGTCTCTGTTAACCAAAGCACACATTTTGCCTTCTATATTGCAGTGTAGTTTTGGGAAGTAGAAAGGCCCTTTCATAAATGTGTTAAATATAGACACTTTTATTTTGTCTCCCACCTTTGATGGTGGGAAGCTTTTTTTCCTATTTCCATTTTTTAATTGGCACTTTAATTTAGTATATTAATTTACTGCATTTTTCTGCCAGGGCAGGCAGCATTTCCAGTGTTCAGATTTGGGAGCTGTTAAATTAGATTTGTACTGCCCCATTATCTCTAGAGGTGGCTTCTGCCTGCAGGACAGTGAGTGCTTGTCTGTACTATGGACTTACAACTTTCATTGAGTTGATGCCAGCAAGTCTCCTGTTTTGTCTATGCTTAGCCACATTCTTCCTCTTCTACCAATAGTATAGAGACTTTGATCTAGATGCATCTTTCCTTTCAATAGCTATTTCTGGTGGAATGTTGAATAGTGGGCAAAGGATTCTGCTTGAGCAGACACCGGTGATGGGCTCCCAGGCTTGGTGGTGGCTTGCTTTCTGCACTACAGTAAAACCACAAGAGGTCATCTTTGGCTCTGGGATTAATAATTCATCTGTCTTCTCTGACCTGTGATCTTTTCTCTTCTCTCTTTTACCCTTTCCCAGTAGTGTGAAGTGAGGGGGACCTTCTCCCTCCTTCCTCCTCTCTCTGTGATCCATCTTCCTTTTTACCCTGCCCTGCGGCGACTCTGCCCCTTACCTTCATGGACGACTCAGAGGTGGAGTCGACCGCCAGCATCTTGGCCTCTGTGAAGGAACAAGAGGCCCAATTTGAGAAGCTGACCCGGGCGCTGGAGGAGGAACGGCGCCACGTCTCGGCGCAACTGGAACGCGTCCGGGTCTCACCACAAGATGCCAATCCACTCATGGCCAACGGCACTCTCACTCGCCGGCATCAGGTAACCCCTCTCTCCTTCAGACCTGCAGGTAGGACTTTGGCATGGTCATAGAGAGGCTATGGTCCTTCTCAGAAAGCTACTCTGTAAGGTAATGGGCTATTTAGTGCCCCTGTTTCAGTATGAACATTTCCAGGGTGAAAAAAAAACAACAAAACACTGATTAAGAGATAAGGAATATAATATGATACTTGCTGTACTGAGTTGGTGGTCATATCTCTAGAAACATCCATCTGACTTCCTGTTTTGCTGGATTTTCTGGATTGGGATGCAATTCTACAATAGTGATGGTTAATAGTGTAGTTTGGAGCTGTACTGAAGTTAATTCTCTTTTCTCTTGATTTTTTTTTTTTTCTCTTTTTGGTATCAATCAGTATGAACATTTCCAGGGTGAAAAAAAAAACAACAAAACACTGATTAAGAGATAAGGAATATAATATGATACTTGCTGTACTGAGTTGGTGGTCATATCTCTAGAAACATCCATCTGACTTCCTGTTTTGCTGGATTTTCTGGATTGGGATGCAATTCTACAATAGTGATGGTTAATAGTGTAGTTTGGAGCTGTACTGAAGTTACTTCTCTTTTCTCTTGATTTTTTTTTTTTTTCTCTTTTTGGTATCAAAAATTCAGGAAAGAGGGGTGGCCAGCAGGTGGTGTAGAGGTGAAGGTGTGGGATCCCACATGGCTGACTGCATGATTTGAGTCCCAGACCTGGTGGCTTGAAAATCACACTGGGGGGAACCAGCAGTTAACGTATTGGCTATGTCGCTGGACTCCCACGTAGTCGACCGTGGTTTGCGTCCTGGACCCGGTGGCTTAAAACTCACGCCAGGCGCGTGTGCGTGCGTGCCCAAGATCCCGAGAGGAGAATGGAGGAGAAGGGATTGCGGCATGACCATCCCCTCCGCGGGGTGATTTCTCTATTGGTGTCTCTACGTCTCTCTGTCTGTCTGGCAAACGCAGGCGCCTTATGGCAAAAACCTCTCCAAAAAAAAAAAAAGGGATATAAAAAAAAAATCACACTGGGTGTTTTGTATGTGTGTGTGTGTGAGTGAGTGTGTGTGTGTGTGTGTGTATGTGTATGCACAAAGTCCCTAGAGGATTTTGGAGGAGAAGGGATTGCAGTGTGGCCATCCCCTAGGGGATGATTTTTTACTTCCTCTCTCTCTGTCTCTCTTTTCCCTCTTTCTGGTGAGCACATGTGCCCTATAGTTAACTTAAACAAAAAAATTAGATAAGTAAATGCCCACTTAGTGGTTGGGGAAGTTGGCCGTCTTGTGGTCTTTGCTCCAGTTCTTTTCTAACTCGCCTCCCTCAGGGAACAGCCTGTTCTCAGAAGGTGTGGCAGTGTCCATAAATTGTGTATTCCTACTCCATATTGTCCTTGTGTGCTCTTTTCGTTGGCTGTGTAAATCATGTTTTAGAGGAAGGGGTTATTGTTAATTCTATTGGTTAGATTTGGAGAGGGAGCCTCATGCTGCTATTTATCCCAGATAACCACAGGAGCCAGTGGTCTCTGGGTTGGCTGACTATGTGACATGACTTAGAGGAATTGGTGTTAGAAATGTGAAGTAGAAATAGCTTATATTTCCTATGGTTTTTCTAGTCTGATTTTGCTGTGAGGTAATCTTTCTGAGGTTTTGCCTGTCTCTGCATGTGACTGTGCGTGCGGGCGTGTGTGTGTGTGTGTGTGTGTGTGTGTATGGTAGGTATTACCTGATAAACTACGTCTTAAGAGGTCTCTGGGTGGAAACCAGAATAGTACTCACATCCTAATAGTCCTTTTCATTGATTGATTGATTATTTATTAATTAATTTATTTTTATGATAGAGAAGTCCTTATGCTGAGGAGCCTTGCAGTTGAGTAAGAGGACAGAATTCCAGTTGGGAGATAATGAGGAATTTGAAGGAAGTTGTGTGATGCAATGTACCTAGGATTTTTATAGGAACTAGAATGAAGGGTTAGGGATGGTATCTGTGTGTGTGTGTGTACACATACTATACATATGTGTGTGTGTGTACACACATACATACATGCATATTCAGAGAGAGAGAGACAGAGAGAGAGAGAATGAGAGAGAGAGAGAACGAGAGAGAGAGAGAGGAGCAGGCCTCCTCAGACTTAAAGATGGTGGGAAATTCCAGGATTTAGTACGTGGTTTCTCTCTCTTATTTTTAACTTCTACTCAGCAATGAAACCACACCCTTCCTTCTTCCTGAAAGTAATGTTTAACTTCCTCTCCCTGCAGCATTACATCTATGTATTGGGATTGGGGTCGGGTAAGAGTTTTCCAAAGAGGCTGAATCTTGCTATATTCTACTGGAAGAAGAGTAGGCAAATATATTTTTATGTGGTATAATGTCAGTGGAGTATTTTCAGCTACTCAACCTAAGGATGGCATTTTGAAATGTGTTCTGTGGTTCTAATTATTGGTAAAAGATATTGAGCTGCCTGTCTTCTTGAGATTTTTTATTTTTCTTTTTTACACAAGGAAAGGAAGACTCTTATCACTTACCTCTTATTTTAAAAAGCTGCCTGGAATGGGAGTTTCCATTGGTAGCAGAGCATGAAGATTCATGGAACAAGAAAAGATATTTTGGAAACTCCCCCAACCTAGCCTTTCTAACTCACCTTACATTCTTGTGGCTTTCCAAAAAGGTTCTGTGTAGAGGAACTTATTTGAGTCTGCTCTTTATTCAGCAGATAGTTTCTGAGTGCCTATTATGTGCCAGGCACTGCTCCAAGCACCATGGATACATCATTGAGTAAAACTGACCACAAAACAGAAAGCCCTCTGCCCTCATGGAACTTACCTTCCTGTGTTCCAGGGGCACAGTTTGCCCAAGTTCCAGGCTTGATTGCAATTTTGATGAAGTATTAAGTCTAAGAAGTGATGTGGTTCTTAGATGAGCACTGACACTGACTCCAGGCCATAAATATCTTCTCAGAGACTTTTTCCTGTTTGCAAAAAAAGATCATTTGTATATGATAGAGCAAAGGAAGGACACAAAAATGAATTGTCTTCTTGTGGGCTATGTTTCAGAACGGCCGATTTGTGGGCGATGCTGACCTTGAGAGACAGAAATTTTCAGATTTGAAACTCAACGGACCCCAGGTAATTTTTTTGGCTCAAGGACTGGGTGGCTTTATTTTTATCTTCCCCAGCCGATAAGAGCATATTGGTGTCTAATAAAGTGCCTGGCACATTGTAAACATCTACTAGTTTCTTTCATTCAGGAAAATCAAAAGAGCTCCAAAGTATCTATACAGTGTTGTTTTGGAATGAATTTTAATAATTGATCTTTATCGGGACCAGCAGTTAGCGTAATGGCTATGTCGCTGGACTCCCATGTAGTCGACCGCGGTTCGAGTCCCAGACCCTGTGGCTTAAACTCACGCCTGGTGCGTGTGTGTGTGTGCCCAAGATCCCAAGAGGAGAATGGAGGAGAAGGAATTGCGACATGGCTATCCCCCTGCGGGGTGATTTCTCGCTTTCTGTCTCTCTCTGTCTTTCTGGCGAGTGCATGCACCTTATAGCAAAAACCTCTCCTAAAAAATGAAAAAGTAATTGATCTTTATCACCCCGCCTTCCCTCCCATTCAATCCCCAGGTACTGCATTTCTCCTTTGAAAAAGGGGGTTTGTACAGGCCAGCCTGTGAATGCACATGCTATCTGGCAAAAAGAATGTGCTTCTACTTTGCAGAAAATCCTACCTAAAATCTGGCTGGTCTTGAGCCTTAGTAATATCTGAAGAGTGTTGTAGAGCTAGTCAAAAGCCAGCTTTTGCTAGGATTTTCTGATTCATCTTGAACGTTCTTTCTTAATGTATTGGGCTACTACTTTGAAGGGTCACTCAGATGTAGATTTAACTGTGGTTAATACAGTTCATAGTCACTTAGTTGACCAAAATTGGGAAGTTAAATCTGCTTTCTTTATCACTTGGGTGGTTGTTGATGTGACTATAGCTAATCCAGGTAATGTTTGTTAAATGCCTAGAATTGGGAAAATATATCCACTATCCTTTTCAAGTTCAAAAGATGATAGCTGCCCCTCTAAACATCCTGAGTCTTATAGAAAATATATTAGAAGATGTATGCATTGTCCCTGTCTCCAAGGTCACCTATTCTTATTAGGATGAGTTGTTAATACGTATGGCTTAATGGTAACTTCTTCCATTTTCTCATTTCCATGTAGGATCACAGTCACCTTCTGTATAGCACCATCCCCAGGATGCAGGAGCCGGGGCAGATTGTGGAGACCTACACAGAGGAGGACCCTGAGGGAGCTATGTCTGTTGTCTCTGTGGAGACCTCAGATGACGGGACCACTCGGCGTACAGAGACCACAGTAAGCTAAAATTTGTATATGGCCTAACAATGTTGAAGTGGTCTTCCTGTGTTCCCCTTTAAAGGGGACGTTAAGCTCTTAATTAGGAAGGATGGATAAAGGGCCATTGACTATAGTGTTGGCAAAAAGAAAGTGATCTCTGGTCAGAAAAGATAGAAAAGATGTGGGAGAATCTAATGGAATAGTGAAGAAAAAGTTACGTCACTATCTGTACTAACTTGCTTATAGGTATAGTTATTGTTAGAGCTGTTATCTTGCTTGGAGACTTCCATAGATTGTAAAGAAAGGTAGGTGGTAGGTTATTACAGTCTTTCAAGGTAACGTGACCTAGAGTTAGGAATTTGTTTATTTTCTTAGAGTGGTCTAGAATTCAAGCTTATTTGCTCACTTCTTCATTTGTTTGTTTTCTTTTTCTCATTCCTTAAATTGAAGGTTAAGAAAGTTGTGAAGACTGTGACAACACGGACGGTACAGCCAGTACCTATAGGACCAGACGGGCTACCTGTGGATGCCTCATCAGTTTCTAACAATTATATCCAGACATTGGGTCGTGATTTCCGCAAGAACGGCAATGGGGGACCTGGTCCCTATGTGGGGCAGGCCGGCACGGCTACCCTTCCCAGGAACTTCCACTACCCCCCTGATGGTTATAGCCGCCACTATGAAGATGGTTATCCAGGTGGCGGTGACAACTATGGCAGCCTATCCCGGGTGACCCGTATTGAGGAGCGGTATAGGCCCAGCATGGAAGGCTACCGAGCACCTAGTAGACAAGATGTCTATGGGCCCCAGCCCCAGGTTCGGGTAGGTGGGAGCAGTGTGGATCTGCATCGCTTTCATCCAGAGCCTTATGGGCTAGAGGATGACCAGCGTAGCATGGGCTATGAAGACCTGGATTATGGCATGATGTCTGATTATGGCACTGCCCGCCGAACTGGGACACCCTCTGACCCTCGTCGTCGCCTCAGGTAGGCAGAAATAGGGGGAAAAAGAGTCTTTTCAAAACAGGGAAAACAGTTAGCTTTTCTACTCCTGAAAGCTTTTAAGAATCAGACAGTTGTGGTTGCCTTCCCTCTGCCTTTTTTCTTTGCAGAAGGCCACCCCTTTTATTCTCCTTTTCAGACTTTGCTTAGTATTGATTTGCTATATCTTTTTTTTTTTATTATGAAAGTTATATATTTTATGTATAGAAAATGACCTGTGATAGTTATTGGTCTATATTCTGAAGAATGACTTTGCTTCTATGCCAAAATTTCTGCTATTCTTGGTTAAGATCTGACCTGCTTTTGGTAATAGGAAGCACTACAAAGAAGCCCGATATCTGGGACCATAAAATATTCACTTATTTTGTTCCAGAAATTTCTTTGGCTTCTGGTTTGATATTAAGAAAAGAGGGACTAATAGATTGTGTAGTGGTTATGGTGCTGAACTCTCACATAGTCGACTGCAGTTCAAGTCCTGGACCTGGTGGCTTAAAACTCACACCCAGCACATGTGTGTGTGTGTGCCCAAAATCCTGAGAGGAGAATGAAGGAGAAGGGATTGTAGCATGGCCATGCCCCTTGGGGTGTGATTTCTCCCTTCCTGTCTGTCTCTCCAGAGAGTGCACATGCCCTATAGTAAAAATTCCTCTTAAAAAAAACCAAAACATGAAAAGAGCAGAGGGTTTTAGGCTTTCAGGTACAAAAGAGACAGTTAAAGGTATATGTAAAAGTTTTTTCTGTGTGTGTGTGTTTTTAAAGAATTACTTTATTTAACTTTACTTGTTTATTTAAATTTGACCAGAGAGGGAGGGAGGGAGGGAAGGAGCGTGCCAGTGAGAGTGAGAGTGAGAGTGAGAGAGAGAGAGAGAACAAACGTGAGAAAGCAAGCCTCCAGGTCCAGGACCTGAACCCCTGAACCACAGTCAGCAACGTGGGAGTCCAGCGCCCTTAACCACTATGCCACCTGCTGGCCCCTCTCTGTGGGTTTTTAATCTCAATGTTAAAAACAAACCTTGACCTCACAAATGCCCTGACATTTTATGCATAGGGTCTTACATTTGATTATAAAGTGAAATGGGATGGCATTCTCAGAGGGATATATTAGCAACATTCTGAAAGGTCACTAAGCAGCTGCCTACTCTGACTTTACTACTTGTCCCTAAAGATTCGTTGGTGATGTGCAAAAAGGAATGATAAGATACTTGGACCTGTAGATGGATTGCCTTGTTGCGTTGAGAGAATGCTTTGGAACAGTTTCAGTAGACCTTTTCTGTAAAGACCAGATAGAACTTTTTTAGGTTTTGTGGGCCATCTCTGCCATATGTTGTTGTTCTTGCTTTCATTTTCGCTCTCTCTTTTTATTATTATTATTTTTTTCAAGTTTCTTTCATGAGAGACAGTCATCCTTTTCAATAGGGTCTCAAGACACAACACCCACCTCTCCACCCAGCCTTCCCAGCCAACAACCTAGAGACCAGTGTTTATAGGCTGACTCAGTCCCCAGTCAGAGAAACGAACCCACCATCTTCCACATAGATCCAGCATTGCTTGAGCAGTGTGTTACTGCTCTGCCACTTAGCTGGCCTTTCTTCCTTTTAAAAACAACTTTGCAAAATATAAAAATCTTTCTTAGTTTTGAGACTGTACAAAACAGGTTTGGCCCTTGATCTGCCAACTCTGCTTTGGAATAAATCAGAGATAGTATTTTCCAGGGAAAGGGAAATAAACAAGTGAAGATTTATGGTTGACTTAATATTAAGGGTACCCTAGCAGCTGTTGCTGAATTTCTCTGCATTGGGTCATGACCTTCTAAAACAAGTGTCTTGATACTCCATTTTCCTCATGTTTTTGCTCTGGTTGCTTTGGTTAACAGTGAACTAACTGGACTGAGCACAAGGATAGAGGCCTCATTATCTAAGCCTGAGTCACTCACTTTTCAGGTGTCCTGGATAGTGAGTCCTACTCCCCGGTGACTCACCTTTTATTCCTGGAGGGGCCCCAGACTTCAGCTGGTGCAACTCTGAGTGTGGCAGATAACTGCTATCACTGAAGCAATGTACCTGCTCAGGGTGTTGCCTCTAATGCAAGTCTGCTTTTTCTGACTTCCTCATTAGTAAAGAGTGATTCGACTAAGGTGGGTGTGGGTAGCCAGATCATTCTCTGCTGTCCCTAGCTGTGACAGTTGACATAAAGAGAGAGGGTTGGGGGCCTTGTTCTTGGGTTTGTTCCAGGGTGGCACTGGACTTGGAAATGTGCTTGACTAGCAAGAGCATTTGCTGCTTCCTGTTCTGGGCCCAGGAGAGCAATACAAGGTCAAACTTAAAACAGTGAGGCAGTGATTAGTGCAAAAAAGCACCAAACCCAAAGACCTTGGTTCTAGCTGTGTCTGTCACTAGCTCTGTAGCCCCAAGCAAGTCATTTGATCTTTCTGGGCACAGTTTTATTATTTGTAAAACAAAGGAAGGAATGTTGGTCCGCTGCCTATAAAAGGAGGAGATACTGGGTAGATTTCTCTGAGTGACTGAAATCTTAGTTATAGCAATTGCTTTTGTAATTGCTTACATTAAGATAATTATAAAAGTAAAACATGCTCAATACTGAGCTTGAAAAACCCAGAAAGCCCCCCAACATTCATTTATAAAAAAAACCACTATTAACATTTGATCATATCCTTTGAATTCTTTTTCTCTATGCCTGTTTGCATATCCTATATTTCCCCTACCAAAATTGAATTTAACAAACTGTTAAGTAGCCTACTTTTAAAATTTAGCTAGCCCAGTAGCAGTGATGTAGTTGGTAGGGTGGAGTCATATAAGAAGGCCCAGGGTTTGGATTTTGGATCAACTTAAACACACTGTGGTATGCCCATGATCCTAGCTGGCTGAGGGGCTGGGGGGAGGTTTTTGGAGTGGTAAGACCCAGTCTGGGGTCCCTGTCTTTCTCTCTTTCTCACACAAATAAATAAATAAATAAACAAACAAACAAAAGTCTCGTAGTTATATAACCTGTTCATTTTGTTTTAATAACATTTTAAAACATTCTTGGTGATTTTTTTTTCTTTCTGCCTTCAAATGCTTTGTCCCTCTGAATCTCTGTTGAGTGGTTACATTAATACCTGGGAGACAGGCCTTCTGCTCAGCATAACCAACTGTTTGGTGACAGTAGGAGTGATTTTGTGGAACAAACAATGGGCTTATTTGGAGAGTTCCACACAATAGATTCTCCTCTCTCCTGTGGGAGCCACAGAGTTTGATGAGCTCACAGATAATGGGTCTTTCCTTCCTGGAGGTTATGAATAAATAATAGTGTGACAGACTCACCCTCTGGTGGTAGTCGGTGGTACTAAAACAGGAATTATCTCCCAATTTAGCTTTTCACTTGGCTTCAATGGCTTCATTTTTTGTTCCTTAGTAGTTGGGTGTCCCAAATGCGATCTTGGTCAGTAGACTCTATTTCAACAGAATTGGAGGTATTGTCTTTAGAAATTGGAGGCAGGAAATCATACCTCAAACATATTTGTTGATTAGCAGATGTGACCCTGAGATGAACTGTGAAAACTAATGTTCAAACTTATACCTCACCAGTATCAAAACTAGGTCCTCACATGATGTAGCAAGAAGTCTTTTACCATTTTCTTCTACCAGTTCCTCTTTTATAATTTCCAAAATAGGGCAAGGAGAAGCTTACATATGACATGTAGTTAAGGGTCTTAATCCACCAGCTTGTTTTGTGTGTAAATGCTTCATTTCCGGTTTGGCTAAGAACCGTTTTTAGGATTCATTTTAGGCTTCATTTGCAACTTTTTTTTTTTTTTTTTTTTTTAAGGTTTTCCCATAGGGTGCTTGTAGTGACTGTAGAGAGACAGAAAGAGGGAAAGTGAGAAATCAACCCCCACTTCCCTGGAAGGGGTGTATAGAGGATGGCCACACCACAATTCCTTCTCCTCCTTTCTTCTCTTGGTATCTTGGGAATGCATGTGCGTGCTCCTGGTACGATTTTCAAGCTTCTAGGTCTGAGACTCAAACCATGGGCAACCATGTGGGAGTCCAGTGCCCTTAACCACCATGCCACCTGCTGGCCCTGGCTCTTTCTGATTAAGCTCTCTGGGTGTTTGTTACTTTCTGAGCCAGAAAACTTCAGAAAAGGTTTTTTAATTATTATTACTTAAGAGAATTTTTATTTGACATTTACTTATTTATTTTGACAAGAGAGGGATAAAAGTGAGAAAGCAAGCTGCCAGGTCCAGGACTTGAACTATGGTTGGCCATATGGGAATTCAGCAACCTCAAACATCACACCACCTGCCGACCCCCAGAAAAAGTGGTTTTAATCTAATTGTAGATGCCCTTAAAACCCAGAAAAGCACCTCACATCCACTGATAAAGAACTACTATTAACATTTGATCATAACCTTTGAATTCTTCTAAAAATTATTATATTTATTGGTCTCAGTAAGAAAAATTGATCAGTATATCATTCATACAAAGGGAAGATAAGATCAATATACTAGAGCTGGGTTAATCCTACCTTGAAGATATGGGGTAATGAGATCATCCAGGAAGCTAGACTTGATGGCTTCATTAGTATCCTCTTTGTCTCTTGGTTTTTCCAAAACTTCTCAGGAGCTATGAAGATATGATTGGTGAGGAGGTACCATCAGATCAGTACTATTGGGCTCCTCTGGCCCAGCATGAACGGGGCAGTTTAGCAAGCTTGGATAGCTTGCGCAAAGGAGGGCCCCCACCTCCCAACTGGAGGCAGCCAGAGCTGCCAGAGGTGATCGCCATGCTAGGATTCCGCTTGGATGCTGTCAAGTCCAATGCAGCTGCATACTTGCAACACTTATGCTACCGAAATGACAAGGTGAAGACAGATGTACGGAAGCTCAAAGGCATCCCAGTACTGGTGGGATTGTTAGACCACCCAAAAAAGGAAGTGCACCTTGGAGCTTGTGGAGCTCTCAAGAACATCTCTTTTGGGCGTGACCAGGATAATAAGATTGCCATAAAAAACTGTGATGGTGTTCCTGCCCTTGTGCGATTGCTCCGAAAGGCTCGGGATATGGACCTTACCGAAGTCATTACTGGTGAGTACTAGGCCTATGGAAAATTGCTAGGTTGGGGTAACTGTTACCTCCTAGAGATACTGAAAGCTAGAGGGATTTGTACTCCTACTTTTGTTTGAAGATTGTTAACTGGTAGCCTTTGGATCAAATCCATCTCACAGATTTGTTTGGATCATGCGGGGCTTTTGAAACGTTAAAGAATTGGTTGCTAATGTTTATTTTTAAAACATAATTATTTAATTTCACTTATTGTTATTATTTATTTTGATCAGAGAGCGACAGACAGAGAAGGAAAGCAAGAAAGCAAGCCACCAGGTTTAGGATTTGAACTGCTGTTGGTCATATGGGAGTTCAGCATTCTAACCATCATGCCACCTGCCAGCCCTGGTTGCTAATGTTTAACATTCAGAAAATTTCCCCTTAAAATTTTAGATTCTTGGCTTCTATTGAAAACAGAGGAGCTAGTGACAATGGATCTATTTTTCTCCCTAGCATTATTTATTCTGAGCTGATTGGGGCATGTGATCTCCAGTTTATAGTGATCTCCAACATATTTTGTTATATCTGACCAATGACTGCAATATAGGAAGTTGTTTCCTAGGCATGGAAGCAGAGCATCAATTGCCATTTATCCACACCGTTGTTATTTCTTTGAAGTATTTGCCTATCTTGACTCACCTGTCCAGCCCATATAGACATTTGAGCTTATTGTCCATGTTTTACTTAGAATAGTGTTTTTTTTAGATTGTGTGTAGTAATCCATTAGTGTGAATTGAACACAGTTTTGTAGATTACAGTCTGTATTCCAAGAAAAAGAAAGGGAAAAATGTAGAATAGATCTTCAGTTCTCAATTGGAGGCCCTCCAGAGGACATTTGTGGTGTCATAGACTTTTTTTTTTTCTTTTTTTGAGAGGTTTTTTTTTTTGCTATAGGGCATGTGCGCTCGCCAGACAGAGAGAGACAGAAAGCAGGAAATCACCCCCCAGGGGGGATGGCCACGCCGCAATCCCTTCTCTTCCACTCTCCTCTCGGGATCTTGGGCACGCACGCACACGCGCCCGGCGTGAGTTTAAGCCACTGGGTCCGGGACTTGAACCACGGTCGACTACGTGGGAGTCCAGCGACATAGCCATTACGCTAACTGCTGGTCCCTGTCATAGACATTTTTGATGGTTGTAACTTGGGGCATGTGAGAGGGAATGCTATTGGCACTTAATGACTAAAGACTAGGGTTACTGATAAATTCCTGACTCTGGAAGGACAGCTCCCACAACTATGAATAACCTGGTCCAAAGTGTCAGTGCTGTTGAGGTCGAAATACTGTGGTATAGCTAGATTGAAAAAGCATTGCTTAGAGTAAATATTGCTTTACGAAGCTTCCCCCACCCCATGATCTATATGTTTGTATTGAACTGTAATATAAAATGTATTTCTTCCTGTGAGTCACAAAATAAAAGCTTGAATGTCACTACAGGGTGTTTGGTCCCTGGATAAGATTAAGAATAGGGGATTCTCTTTGGCATTCTTCAAATGTACTATCTTGGGTGCTAGAGAGCTATCTGATGAGTTGTTTCTGCCAGGAACCCTGTGGAATCTCTCATCCCATGATTCAATCAAAATGGAGATTGTGGACCATGCATTGCATGCCTTGACAGATGAAGTGATCATTCCGCATTCTGGTTGGGAGAAGGAACCTAATGAAGATTGTAAGCCACGCCACATTGAGTGGGAGTCGGTTCTCACCAACACAGCTGGCTGCCTTAGGTAACAGTAGGGACTTTGAAAATATAAAGACTGAATTTTCAAAGATGGACTTAAAGTTCTTTAAAAAGAAAAAAACAGTTGAAATTCTTTAGCCTGCTATGTAGCCTCTACTTCTTTATGTATTGCATACTGGAACTCCAGCCTGCCCTTCTACCTCTGTCGCTACTCCGCTGTGCATACCCATACGCCTGCTGTGTTGGTTTGCTTGCTGTTCCTCACATAACCTCTTTGATTTGTGCATCTAATTTGTTAACCATTTGATCAGTACCTTCCTTATGTAAGTTGCTTGCTTAATCCTGGGCTCTGCGTGTCTGTGTCCCTGCCTTCAATTATCTGTATTTCAAGTCAGACTGCCACAAATGCAGCAAAAGGGTTAATAAGACGGTAGGCATGGTTGATGAAGGTGTGTTCCTCTTTCTGTCTGCCAATCTTTTTTTCTCCTTATTTATCTTTTTTTTTTCTGGAGAGATTTTCACTGTAGGGCGCGTGCGCTTGCCAGACACTCAGAGAGGGACATAGAGACAGAAAGCGAGAAATCACCCCCCAGGGGGGATGGTCACGCCGCAATCCCTTCTCCTCCATTCTCCTCTCGGGATCTTGGGCACGCATGCACACGCGCCCGGCGTGAGTTTTAAGCCACCGGGTCCGGGACGCGAACCGCGGTCGACTACGTGGGAGTCCAGCGACATAGCCATTACGCTAACTGCTGGTTCCCCTTATTTATCTTTTTGAGGCTAAACTCCAGTGCTTTTATTTTGTGAGAGTTTTTCTTATTTCTTCTTCCTATACAAGTCCTGCAATATAACCTTTCCTTCTTTCGAATAGACTCCTCTGTGCTCTGCACCATTCTACATTTGTACTTCCATAGACGTATCCTTATTTTATTATTTTTTTTAATTGCCAGAGGGTACGTGTACTTACCAGAGAGAGACAGAGACACACACACATAATTTGGTCGGGGGAGGAGAAGAGAAAGAGAGAGACACAGAAAAGCACTCCCTGATGAGACGTGGTCATGCTGCAGTCCTTTCAAACTTTTCTCCATCCTGTTGGGATTTGGGGCCATACACGTGCTCTTGGCATATTTTCCCAAGCCACCAGGGCAAGGATTCAAACCAAGGTTGACCCTGTGGGATCTGGCTTCCTTAACTGTTAGACAGTGAGGCCAGCCTAAGAAGTATCTGTGCTTTCTTGAGTTATTGCTTGTATACATTTTTTTAAAAACTTGCTTCTGGATGTGTGTGCTCGCTAGGGAGAGAGAGACAGAAACAGAGAGAGGGAAAGCAACAAAGCATACCCCAGTAGGATCGCCACACCACAATCCCTTCTCTATTGTCTGAGCACACATGCACATGAGCCTAATATGGTTTTCAGCCCACCAGGTCTGAGACTCAAACCTCATAGTTGGCCATGTGGGATCTATGTTAACTACCACACCACTGCCTGACCAGTTTGTGTACATTATTATTTTAAAGAATGATTTATTTAATTTGGTTTATTATTATTAATACTATTTTAAAAAATTTCTTACGAGGCATGAGTGCTCACTGCAGAGAGAGAGAGAAAGAGAAAGCAAATTGCCAGGTCCAGGACTTGAACCGTGGTTGACCATGTGGGAGTCCAGAACCTTAACCACCACACCACCTGCTAGCCCTACTTATATACATTATTAACCTCTACTCCATCTCAGAGTTAATAGAAGTTCAAAAGACATAAACTATTAATTGTTTTTCTTTTAACTGCACTTCCTTTCTTATACTAAGTATTCCCTGTTTGTTATAGTCAGTAGAAAAGCTGCTGAGGAAACTTATAGATGTTGAAAGATATTTAAGGGAGAATTTCTGGATTTGAGTCATCTTGAAGCTTCTCCTGGTTTCCCCTCAGGAATGTAAGCTCAGAGAGGAGTGAAGCACGCCGGAAACTTCGGGAATGTGATGGTTTAGTTGATGCCCTTATTTTCATTGTTCAGGCCGAAATTGGGCAGAAGGATTCAGACAGCAAGGTAAGTTAATGTCTGAGTGAGTCCCATTCATTTTAGCCTTGAAATAACTACAAGGCAGACCTATTATCTCAGGCTTTCAAATAACGTTAAATACCTATACCAGTCCCTGCTCCCTAAAGTGGCTGAAGAAAACAATTTTCTTTTTAAAAATTTCCTCTTTTCAAATTTGTTTTAGAATTAACTTTATTATTATTAATTATTATTATTATTATTATTATTTTCCAGTTTGATCAGAGAGAGACAGAGACAAAGGGAAAGTGAGAAAGCAAGTCACTAGGTCTGGAACTCGATCCATGGTTGGCCATGTGGGAGGCCAGCACCTCTAACCACCATGTCACCTGCCAGCCCTGAAGAAAACAATTTTCTTTAGAATTTCCTTCACCTATATATTTTAAAGTTGCTCAGCTGTCTTGCAAAATTGTACATTTTTCTTTTTTTTTTTTTTTTTTTGAGAAGTTTTCACTATAGGGCACATGCACTCGCCAGCCAGACAGAGACAGAGAGACAGAAAACGAGAAATCACCCCCTGGGGGGATGGCCATGCCTCAATCCCTTCTCCATTCTCCTTCGGGATCTTGGGCACGCATGTACATGTGCCTGGCATGAGTTTAAGCCACCGGGTCCAGGATGCGAACCACGGTCGACTACATGGGAATCCAGCGACATAGCCATTATGCTAACTGCTGGTCCCCTAGATTTTTCTTTTTAATTGCCAGAGAGTATGTGTACTTGCCAGAGAGAGACACAGAGGAAGAGAGAGAAAGCACCCGTAATGGGACGTGGTCATGCCACACTTCCTTTTCCTTCATTGCTTCATCTTGTTGGGATTTGGGGCATGCACACAAATGTGACAGGCATGTTTTTTGTTTTAAGATTTTTACCATAGGGCACACACACTTGCTGAATTGAGACAGAGAGAAGGAAAGTGAGAAAGCACCCCCAAGGGGGATGACCATGCTTTAATCTCTTCTCCTTTCAGGATTTTGAGCATGCACACACACATACCCAGTGTGATTTTCAAGCTGTTGGGTCTGGGGCTTGAAATGGAGTCAGCTATGTGCGAGTCCAGTACCTTAACCACCACGTCACTTGGCTGGCCCAAGAATGGCATGTTTTCCTAACTACTGGGGCCAGAATGTAAACCATGTTCAGCTATGTGAGATTCAGCTTCCCTTAATCGGTAGGCTATGAGGTTGACCCGAAATTGCACTTTAAAAAAAAAAATTGCTAGAGGGTGCATGCACTCACCAGAAAGCAAGGGAGAGGAGAAGTGAGAAAACATCCTTCTGCACGGGATGCTCACACTGCGATTCTTTTTGCAATCCCTTCTTCATTTCCCTTTCAGGATTTAGGGCGCATACACATCCCCAGTGTGTTTTTCAAGCTGCCAGGTTTGGGACTCAAATGGCAGTGTTAGCTGTTTGGAATTCAGCTGCTTTAACCACCGTGCCCCTGGCTGGCTCCCAAATTATACATCTTCTAAGTAGGAGAAACAATGACCCAAATTTTGGTCACACATCAAATAGTGACAGAAGTCAGTACACCTATAGTTGGACTTCTTAGCCTGAGATGCTGTGAAGATTTTGAGAAGCCTGAGGCACGGCATTTAAGAGACATCCTGATACATTGGGCTACGCTTTTGAGGACTGATATTTTAATACATGAATCATGGAAATCTGTACTTGCTGGAAAGTCACTGAGCATTTTCTTTGCTCATTGAGCCTTTTTTTCTTGTGTCTCTAAGCTGGTGGAGAACTGTGTTTGTCTTCTTCGAAACTTATCATATCAAGTGCACCGGGAGATCCCACAGGCAGAGCGTTATCAAGAGACACCTCCCAGTGTTGCCAACAATACCGGGCCACATGCTGCCAGTTGCTTTGGGGCCAAGAAGGGCAAAGGTAAGTCTTGGTTTCCGGTCCCTTGCTCTTTAAATGTGGGAAAGGGAAAAGAAGGAACACTTTAACTTTAGGTACAAAATACTTGTCAGACACGATGGGAATCTACCTGATCCAGGATGTCTTTTTGCTCTGCCTCTGTGTTGTGTGCTTCATTCAAGATGGCGGTGGTGGTATCAGTGACGGGGCAATGAGGCAACGCAGCTAAACCGGGGCATTGACCCCCTTTTGTCCTTTGTGTTTCCTCTTCCTCTCTGCTTCCTGCTTATTTGCCCATGATCCTGTTAACATCTTTCTCGTGCATTTTTCTTCCTTTATTCCTCTCCTCTGCTTTCCATCTTGGGTGACGCACTGGAAGATGAGTGGTTCTCCAGAGGTGAGTGGAATCTTTTAAGGTGCTTATCTACTTATAATTTGCATGTTTCAATTTTAGCTTTCCTAGTATTTCCTTGCCTAACCCTTCTCTATGGATGCATGTAGGAAAATTCAGTTGAGGACAAGTACTGAAACAAGTTCGGCTCTTCTGAGCTAATGGCCCGTGGCATGCTCTTTCTGGGCAGTAGTCACTGTTATCTGAACTCAAAACAATAGTAGCAACAACAGTGGTTATCTGTGTCTTACCTGTCTGCTGCCTGTTTAACTGTTCTTGTTTCTGCTTAGCCCCCTGTTGGGACAGTTTAGCCACCACTTCCTCTACCTTTTTTACCTTGTATCCCTAATGCAAAGATTTTGACAAAAGAATGAAAAATATGACAGGTACAATGCTTCTGTCCTTAAGTTTTAAAAATAATTTTTTCTTTTCTCCTCCTTTTTAAAAAAACTTATATAGGGAAAAAGCCCACAGAGGATCCAGCAAATGATACAGTGGATTTTCCTAAAAGAACTAGTCCTGCTCGAGGTAAGTTACCTTTTTTCTCAGTCTCCAGAAGTCTCATAAACATGGTCCACAGGGTATTAGCCTAGTAGCAGATTTTACGCAGTGTCTCCTGTTTTCTGACTTACAGGTTTGAAGTTAGGTGAAAGTATTAGGAAAGTCTATGGTAATGTACCAGCAGTAATGTACCAAAGATTGCTTGTTGAGGAGGTGTTCAGGTTACCTGAGGGTAGGATGAGGGCCTGACGATAGTACAGAGCAGAAACTTAGTTACTGCTTTGTGGCCACTATAGTTTAGAACCTAAACCTTAGTTTTTAAGAAGCCTCTTTATCACAGTTTGGATTTTTATACCCATTGATATAGTGAGTTCAAAGTTCATAGCTGTTTAGGGATACACATATTTTAAATGTTACTAAATCCATGATGTGCCCTTTTTTACTTAGTCATAGAGGAAAATGACTGGATTAAGTTAGATATAATTCATTTGAGATGAGGATTATTTGGGGGGGGGGCATAGGGCATATGTGCTTGCAGGAATGAGACAGTGAGAGACAGAAAGTGAGATCCATCCCAAGGAGGGATGGCCACACTTCTCCATTCCTCTGGGATTTTGGGCATGCATGATAGGTGCTTTGCGTGAAAGCTGCCGTGTCTGAGACTTAAACCACAGTGGGCCATGTGGGAATCCAGGGTCTTAACTACCACATCACCTGGTAGCCCCAAGATGAGGAATCTCTAATCTTGAGTGCTGCACTGAGCTGAATGAATCCCTGGACTGCTCATGGTAGAACCCAGGCCAAAGGAATCTAGGGAGAGGAGAGTCAAGGAGGAAGAAGAGAGAGGGGTTGGACTCTGATGAGTTAATGTCTATTCTACTCTTATCATGGATTCATTATTCTTAGGAGGGCATAGAACCAGGCTGCTGAGCTTGCTGTTGTGTGAATGGGGAAGTATAGGGATCCTATGGTATAGGATCACAAATCCATCAATCCAGAATGCTAAGGCTGTACTCTAACCAGCCGGAGCCCGATTTGTGGGTATTAACTACCATTGTCTGGCTTCTTGCCATTTCTTATGCAGGCTATGAGCTCTTATTTCAGCCAGAGGTGGTTCGGATATACATCTCACTTCTCAAGGAGAGCAAGACGCCTGCCATCCTAGAAGCCTCAGCTGGAGCTATCCAGAACTTGTGTGCTGGGCGCTGGACGGTGTGTACCTGCTAAATATGGATTTGGATAGGGGAAAACTTAATTTGTTTGCTGCCATTTGTAATTGGTTCCACCTCTTTCCATGTGCCACTTGTAGTATGGTCGATTTATTCGTTCTGCTCTGCGTCAAGAGAAGGCTCTTTCTGCCATAGCTGATCTCCTTACCAACGAACATGAGCGAGTAGTGAAAGCTGCATCTGGAGCTCTGAGAAATCTGGCTGTGGATGCTCGCAACAAGGAATTAATTGGTGAGGAGTGGAATGCTAATCATTACTTGAGCATCTAGTATGGTGCCTTTAATCAAGCATGTGCTGAATTTATTTACTGGAAGAGAGTGAAGGGAAGAACTCAAGTCCTCCATAGTTTATGAATCTGAGGGTTGGCGAGGGTTATAGTTTAAAGGTTCTTGGAAAGACATGAAACAATGACTCTTCAAGAACAAAACCATAATAACATACTTTTATTTATTTATTTATTTATTTATTTATTTATGGGAGAGGATTTTGCTATAGAACGCATGTGCTTGCCAGAAAGACAGAGAGACAGAAAGTGAGAAATCACCCTCCAGGGGGTTGACCACGCTGCAGTCCCTTCTCCTCCATTCTCCTCTCTAGGATCTTGGGCATGCACGCACACGCACCTGGTGTGAGTTTAAGCTACTGGGTCTGGGACTCAAACCGTGGTTGACCACATGGGAGTCCAACGACATAGCCATTATGCCAACTGCTGCTCCCTCTTTTTCTATTTTATTAAGGTTTTCTTATAGAGCACATGTGCTCACCAGAGAGAGAAAGAGGGAAAGTGAGAAGTCACCCCCTGTGGGGGATGGCCATGTCAGAATGTCTTCTCCTCCTTTCTCCTCTCAGCATTTTGAGGACACATGCACATGTGTGTGATTTTCAGGCCACCAGGTCTTGAACTCAAACTGTGGTCAGCCATGTGAGAATCCAACACCTTAACCACCATGCAACCTTTTGGTCCCTATTTTTAAAATTCATATCGACTCTGTTCTATTAAATTATTTTAATATCAATATACTATTTTCATTAGAGTATCTGAAAGGACTAAGCATATTTGATATATATTATTTACATTGTTTCAGTGTGATTGAATAAAGGGCAAGTAATATAAAGGATGGGCACATTTATGTCTTTCCAGCTTCTTGCTCTTTTTATTTTTTAAGTTTGTTTATTCTGAGAGAGGACAAGAGAGAGAGAATCCCCAACTGAGTCTTGACACTAAAATCTACCCCCAACCTCCTCTATCCCTGGATCACAGGAACATATGTGCCAGCCTAATTAAAGATCTCTGGAAATAAACCTGGAATTTTCCCCTGCGAGATAACCTCTCAGAGCACAGTGTCTCATTTTACTGCTGTGCCACCACTTGGCCTCCTCCTTTGCTCTTTTGAACATGTATAGGATGATAAACGTGATGTCTATGGACAGTACTGTTTTTGATATGGTTAGCATTATTAAGTGTTAGGCTCCTTATGAGCTGCCGTGGCCTTTACTGCCTGCCTATGTTCCTTTGGCCTTACTGTTACAGGTAAACACGCCATTCCTAACTTGGTAAAGAATCTGCCAGGAGGGCAGCAGAACTCCTCCTGGAATTTCTCTGAGGATACCGTGGTCTCCATTTTGAACACCATCAATGAGGTTATTGCTGAGAACTTGGAAGCTGCCAAAAAGCTTCGAGAGACACAGGGTATTGAGAAGCTGGTGTTGATCAACAAATCAGGGTGAGCTTGTCACTTAACAGTGTAGCTAGATGAATCTGAGTGAGAGAGGGGAGTCACTAGGAAGAAGTTTTCTTATTTACAATTGAAATATGAAGAGGTATTGCTCTATTTTCTGTCTTAATGTTAATTCATAGATTGGTAATAGATTCTAACATTAAACAATTTTTAAGAATCACTGTTGGGACATAGTACAAGATTTGTTGAACAAAACTATTACACTCATTTTGACATTTATTTTCCTAGGTTATTATTAGAACGTATAGGCTCTAAGTTTCTTTCCTGATCTTAACCCAAATTCTGTGTGGTTTTACTTTCTTCAAAAGGAACCGCTCAGAAAAAGAAGTTCGAGCAGCAGCACTTGTATTACAGACAATCTGGGGATATAAGGAACTGCGGAAGCCACTGGAAAAAGAGGGATGGAAGAAATCAGACTTTCAGGTATAATAACGTCTAAGACTAATACTTTATTTTCTCATGGTCCCAGAGTAATGCTCTGTCTTTGGTATGCTATGTTTTACTATCACACTAAGTCTATTCTTGACTGAAGCCTCTTATAGTTAGTGAAGAAGTTTGCTTTAATCCTCAAAAAGAGTGGTTCCTACAGATCATTTACTGTCAAAACAGCTCTGATCTCTTTGTCATAACATATTTAAGAATTGTTATTCATGAAGGATGATGACGGCCTTCTGGACTTTTATCCTTATCTACTATAGTCTTTTGAGAGAGCTTACGATTCCCTGAGACTGTTCCTTCAGATAGTATGGGTGTTGAGAACGTCTCCTGTTCAGGAACACAGACAAACCATAATATCCGAGTTTGTTTTACTGTATAGATTATGTATTCAACCCTTACGAGTCACTTTTTCATAAGATTATGTTTGGAATAGGAACCTAGAGATTTATGTCCATTAGAGAATAAGATATGGGTGAATATAACTCAAATTGTATGGCATTATTGTGTTTTATGTTTGTTGCAGGTAAATCTAAATAATGCTTCTCGAAGTCAGAGCAGTCATTCATATGATGATAGCACTCTGCCTCTCATTGACCGGAACCAAAAAGCAGGTAGAGTGCCCCGGGGGTACACCCCTTTCCTTTCAGCCACTTCTGCTATTCTCTACCGGCTTACTGGGAAGTAGGATATACACTCCTTTCTGTCTTTTAGAGAAAGGGAATACTCCTTTGCTCCAGGATTATGACACAGAAGTGGGTAGGTCTAGGCATTATAAATTAAAACAAAACAAGCTCTTAAATTGAGCATGACTTCCACCCTAAACCCCTTTTGCTGTGGACTTAAAAACCAAAATGAATCCTTGTCTATCTTTTGTATTTTTTCTTTTAATTTCTTTCTCTTTAAATGCAAAATAATTTGGGACCAGCAGTTAGTGTAATGGCTATGTCGTTGAACTCCTATGTAGCTGACTGCGGTTCAAGTCCCGGATCAGGTGGCTTAAACTCACACCGGGCACGTGTGCATGCATGCCCAAGATCCCAAGAGGAGAATGGATTGCGGCGTGGCCATCCCCCCTGAAGGGTGATTTCTTGCTTTCTGTCTCTCTGTCCCTGTTTGTCTGGCAAGCACACGCACCCTATAGCAAAAACCTCTAAAACAAAAAATGAAAAATAAATACAAAATAACTTTTTTCCATTGAAAAATTAGAAAATACAGTTGGAAAAAAGTTACACCAACTTATTTCTATTAACTGAAGCTATCTATTGCTGTTTTGGGTTATCTTTTTTTTAAACACTTTGCTATGTGAGCAAGCATGTTTTTCCCCAAAAGAGGAATCACACATTTTGTTTTTGTAAGTTTTTTCTTCTCACTTATGGTGTGTATTGTGACCCTTGTTATTTTAATGACCCTTTGTTTTTGCTTCTATTAGTTTTTCCTTTTTTTCTCTATAATGGCTTTATTTTTAGACTGTAGTTTAAGTAAATACTTGAATTTTTGTATCCATAAATTATTGAGAAATAAACTTTTCATAGTATTTCAATAGAAGTCTTTCATATATAGTCTTTCATATATGTTACAATATTGTGAAATTCTATGATACATTGCTCTTGCCTCTTATATTCATTGTGTGTTGCAAAGTAAAAAGTCATTTAAAATTCTCTTATTCACATTTAGTTGTTGTACATCTTTGTGGGATACAATATAGATTTTGAAAGTATGAATGCAGTGTGCGATAATGAGAACAAGGATATTACCACATTTGTTTTTAACAAAGACCCTCCATATTATGATCTCTATCTTAGTTTTTATATATACATATATACGTATATATGTGTATATGTAAGTATGTGTATGTATTTACATATATGTATATGATTGGCAACATCCAGTCGTTTTACCCAGTTGCGCTATGCCGTTCTACAATCCATTTGCCCTTCTGCATGCATTCTTGTGCCTGTTAAATGCTTTTTTCTTCAGTCCTTCATCCCTCCCTGCCACCACCCCATGTAGTCTCTGGTATCTACTGTTAACCCTCTCTACTTCTGTGTCTTCAAATCTTTCCATTTCTGCCAAAGAGTGCAAATATTCACTATATATTAAGCAGGGACATAGAGTGTTATTTATTTTTTTGTTAAATATATTTTAAAACATTCATTGATTGATTGGTTGATTGAGATCTTCAGGCCACCAGGTCCAGGACTCCCACATTGTTAGCCACGTAGGAATCCAGCACCATAAACACCAGAGCACTTGTTGGCTCCATACGGTGTTATTTTGTTATTTTTTAAAAGGAATTATTTATTTTCATTTATTCATATATTTATTTTATTTTGACCAGAGAGAGACAGAGAGAGAGGGAAGCCACCAGGTCTGGGACTTGAACTGTGGTTGGCCATGTGGGAGTGTCCAGTGCCTTAAACACCATGCCATTTGCTGGTTCCTTTAGTTGTTATTTTTTTTAAAGTGGTATTAGCCATAAGGTTGTGCGTGCTGGCCAAAGAGAGAGAGACTGTGAGGGAAAGTGAAAAATCACCCCATAGGCGGGATGGCCATGGTGTAATCTCTTCTCCATTCTCCTCCTGGAATCTTGGACATGCATGCATACATGCCCCATGTGATTTTCAAGTCACCACGTCCAGGACTAAACTGTGGTGGGCCATGTCAAAGTCCAGTGACATAATCGCTGTGCCATCTACTGCTTTATACAGTATTATCTTAATGACACTTGGCTTTTGCTTCTATCAACTTTTTGCTTTTTCTTTTTAAAAAATTGCCATAGAGGGACCAGCAGATGGTGCAGTGATTAAGGATTTGAACTCCCACATGGCTGACTATGATTCGATTCCTAGACCCTGCAGTTAGAAACTCAATGTGGGCACGAGTGTGTACATACCCAAAATCCCAAGAGGGGAATGGATTGTGTTGTGATCGTTGCCCTAAGGAGTGATTTCTCATTTTTTTCTGTCATTCCAGTGAGTGCATATACCCTATAGCAGAAGTCTCTCTTTAAAAAAAATTGCCAGAGAGCATGTCTGAGAGACAGAGAGAGAGAAAATACTCCCAAATGGGTATGATCATGCCACAGACCTTTTTCCTCCATTTCTCCATTCTGTCAGGATTTGGAGCACACATGCATATGTGCCCAGTATGTTTTTCAAACCCCTGGGGCAGGGATTGGCCATGGGACCTGACGTGCTGTGCACAAGAAGTCAGGTTGTACTATAGGGCTAGCCATATTAAGCACAAACTTTAAAGAGAGGTACAACATAAAAATGTTATTTATGATAACGTAAGTTTATAATTTTTTAAGTAAAAGTCAATATTTAAAGTTCCTCAGTATGGTAAATATTAATATATAAAACTTGTATCAATTAAAGCTCTTTGGCTCCTTGTAATTTTTTAAAAAATAAGTATTTCATTTAACTTGATTTATTTTAATTTGACCAGAGAGGGACAGAGTGAGAGAGAGAGAGAGAGAGAGAGAGAGAGAAAGTGAGAAAGCAAACTGTCAGTTCCAGGATTTGAACTGTGGTTGGCCATGTGGGAATCCAGTGCTTTTCACCGCCACACCACCTACCAGCCCCTGGCTCCTTATAATTTTTAAGACTATAAAAGGGGACTGACAGAAGGTCGGCAGATGGCATGGTGGTCAAGATGGCTGTACTCACACATGGCTGACTGCAGTTCAGGTCCTGGACTGGCAGCTTGCTTTCTCACCTTTCTTCTCTCTCTGGTTAACTTTAAAAAAATTAAATCAAATAACGACAATGAATAAAATTAAATAAAATAATTTTTTTTTTTTAAAAAGAGGGGGTGAAACTGGCAGGAAGTGTGGTGGATAAGGTGCTGGACTCTCACATGGCTGATCTGGAGGCTTGCATTCTCACTTTGTCTGTGTCTCACTGGTCAGATTAAAATAATAATAAGGGACCAGCAGATGATGTAATGGTTATGTCACTGAATTCCCATGTAGTTGACTGTTGTTTGAGTGCTGGGCCTGGCATCTTAAACTCATGCCAGGTGCACGTGCGTGCACACCCAATGTCTCAAGAGGAGAATGGAGGAGAAGGGACTGTGGTGTAGCCCTCCCACTCTCTCTCTCTCTCTGGTGAGTGCACACACCTTATAGCAAACAAATAAATTTATTATATTAGTAATAAATCTTTTAAAAAAGACTATTAAGGGATCTTGAGACCAATGGATTTTGAACATTTCTGGCTTAGATCCAATTGTGTCTTGCATTAGGAGTCTATAGGAAGAACGGCTTCGTGGTGCAGCAGTACTGGATTATTCAAGGGAAGTTGGATTCCATGGGTGACTATGGTTAGAATCCCTCGCCCAGTCCACCTGAAACACTGTGGGCGTGCACTTTAGTGCCCAAGATCAACAGGCTAGAATAGAGGAAAGGACCCGTGGAGGATTCTTCTCTCTGTCTCAGTCTCTGACTCTGCCTCTGTTCTTTCTTTTCTGTCATGTGCTCTATCATGAATGAGGAGAAAAACAAGTCTATAGTTAGGGATCTAAGTTCTAGGATGCCATTGTTACACCTGTAGAGTTGCGATCAGTGTCTGGCACATCATGGTGCTAACTAAAAATTTGAATGAAGGGAGGAAAGGAAGTTAGATCAGAGAGCAATTTTTACGATGTGCCTAGATTTTTGAAGAGTTGGTTTTTGACGTGGATAACTTTTTGACTCCATCTAGATAAGAAACCTGATCGGGAAGAAATTCAGATGAGCAGTATGGGATCAAACACAAAATCACTAGGTAGGTGATTAATTCCTACCTATGGATATGGAATAATATTTCATTGGGATTAGGAAAGCTTTCTAACTAAACCGTAGTTTTTTTCTCATACCCTCGCCATTTACTATCTTAGAAGAGCATTGGCCGATCATTTCCATTTGAAAGGATGTGACGAAATTTAGTAAAACTGGATCCATCTACTTTTTCAATATTCCTAAAGGCTCAAAAGTTTTCAGAAAAATCTTTGTATGTCCCTCCACCCTGTACTATAGAATCAACTGTTTGCCCCTAAACAAACAGACCATCACAATCTGATGTCGTTTCCTTCTTCTCTCCGTGTACTCTGATTCAGTCTACCTGGTCTGCTTGTTGTTCTGTCTTTCGCTCTGGGTTTTTTTTTTTTTTTTTTAAAATAATTTTGCTCATGTAATAACCTCTGATAAGAATGTCCTTCCTGTTTGCTTTTCTCAAGTCCTGTTCTCTTTTTTTCAGGTCCTTCCTAACTTGCAGCATACTTCACTTGCTCCTCTCATGCTCTCCTTATCTTTCTAAACAGCACTCTTCAGTGTAGCTTTATTAGCATATGCTATACTCTTGAGTATTTCTTTATATTGTCTTCCCTATTAGATTCAAGTTCTTTGAAGTCAGGGACCATCAGACCTTAAAGTCTTTCTGGAGCATTTGGCAGAGCTCACAGTTCCCAACATATAGATGCCTAATTCACAGAATGATGCCATGTTTCCATGTATTTTTTTTCACCAGATAACAACTATTCCACACTGAACGAGAGAGGGGACCACAATAGAACACTGGATCGATCTGGAGATCTAGGTGATATGGAGCCACTGAAGGGAACACCCTTGATGGTAAATTCTCTTTATATTGTTCATTCCAGGCTATTTCTACTCTCACGCCCTGTGTGTTTTGTGAAATAGGAAAAACAAACACACATCCTTCTCTGGAGGGGGTTTTTAGGAAAAGTAGTTATTTTGACTCATCTTGGGATTTCTTAGGCCATTATTCTGCAATGGTCAAGATGAGAGAAGGGAATCTATACATATATTACCAATTTGACTAACACTAACTGATCTGTTCTTATATTTTACCTTCTTTCTGTTTACAAATGTTTTGCCCTTCTCTTACTATTATTTGTTTTGTTTCAAACTTTGAGACTTTTTCTTCCAGGTTTGGCACACACTCATGAGGTTCCTCTCTCTTTTCTCTCGTACTAACAAATTGCATGTGTTCACAGCAGGACGAGGGGCAGGAATCTCTGGAGGAAGAGTTGGATGTGTTGGTTTTGGATGATAAGGGGGACCAAGTGTCTTATCCCCCCATGGTATGTCCTCCAGTGACCCCCAAGATCGTCCTTGAGGAAGGAGGCTCCTTTGTGCTGGCATGTTTGCCAATCATGCTGATCTGATCAGGCCAGAGACATTAGTCTTGGCCCCATGGGCTTGGGGGGGTGGTGGTGTTCTGCTTTTCTGCTTTTGTGATTTTTTTTCCTCTTAAGAGGCTGGGACATGCAGCTGGTAAACTGATTCTCCACTCTATGCTGCTTTCCTTCCTCCAGATTTGCTCAGCTGGTTTTTCAGGGGTCTCCTTGTTCCCAATACTATTAATATCCTCTCTCTCTTTTTCCCCCACAGCAGAAGATTTAGCACCACTATCTTCGTTCCATCCGGGGTGGTATAATATATGTACTTTTACTTTTGGTGGTGAAATGGACTGATGATTTTTCCCTTTCTTCGCTGGACTATTGTGCCAACTGCCAGGCTGCCTCCTGCCCTTATAGCCGTGAGTGGCTGCCTTCTTTCCATCAACTCCCAACTTTTCCTGGTGAAGTTTAATTGTCCTGCCTCCTTTCCCCATCTCCTCCAGTTTCTCCCAAGAAGCCTGACATAGCTGTTTGCATATCTTGAGAAACTGCTACAGATTAGTTGTTTTTGCCTGCTCTCCCTGGAACTCTTGGCCTTGTAGAGGGAGAGAGAGTGTGGGAATCTTCACTGGAAGTCGTGGGAAGACTTGGAAGTTATATTCTGTATATGCAATGTCCAGCAATTGATTAACTGATGATTCTTAATCAAGATTTTTTTTTTCCCCTGGTGGAGAAGGGACTTTTTATTTTCTTTTTGGAAAATGGGAAGTACGAGCTCTTCCCTTATTCCTAATGGCTATTTTTGAAGCAAAGAAGGTTGGCAACTTTGGCACATTCCATCTGGCAAGGGCTCTTGAGTAAGTGAAAGTCTCCTAATACTGGGATTAAGAAACCTTGCTCTCCTCATCTTGAGGCAGGGACCATCAAGGACCTACAAACTTTATCTCTTCTACAAGCCTCATGCCAACTGTGGGCTGCTGCATCTGCCCCTTACTGAGGCTGTCCTTTAACCCTCCTCTGCTACCCTGTGATATATCTGCTGACTTGACCTGGCCATTTGCAAGAGGCCTTAGAAAGAGGAGAATGACAAGGAAGACTTTTTTGTCAAGAAGGAACAGAAAGATGTTTTTTTGGGAAGAAGAGGAACCTCTAGGAGGAGCTAGTAGGAATGTACATGAAGTGATTAGTCTGAAACTGGCAGGCAGCTTCAAAGCTGGCTTCCCTCCCTTTCCTATTTCCCCATTTTCTACCCTTATAGACCTGTCCTCCCCTGCCTCTCCCTGGATTGGTTGGCCAACTATAAAGACTTGATGTACATAACTCCAGTCCCTTTACCCTTACAAGGTGGGGATGGCCCTTGGCTTCGCCTCTTCTTTGTGCCTTTGGCCTGGGGTACATCTCCTCCCTCCCTTCCATGTGCCTTTCTTTGCCTCTGCAGTCTCATTTCTCATGATTTTGCAAATTATTTTTTATTGCTTTCTCACCTACCATTGGCTCTAACTAGCAGAAAGAAGAGGAGAGGTGACCTCGAGAACCACAGAGTCTCCATTGGAGATTGGTGTAGCTTCTCCTTTTAGCCATAGCAAGCTTTTGCTCAACAGTGTATGATTTTTGCAAAATCCCATTCTGATGAATCTCAGAGTGAGGGTGGTAGAAGGAGTGAATGGTGAAACTTTTTACTCCTTAGTTGCCCAGAATTTACCATCATCTCTGAAGGAGTTATAGGGAAGTTGTCTTTCCCCAACTCCCCCCATTTCCCTCAATACTGCCCCCTCCCACTTTAGTGTATATTAGCAGGTTGGGCTATAGGAATCAGCTGCTATGCGGGTTGATTATTTTTTTTAACCCCTTATTTGCCTTCTACTCTCCTTAATCTAAAAGCTCTGTTCAATGCAACTGGAATTCTTTATCCCTCTCTTCCCCTTCTCTTATATATTGAGGCTATGGGGTAGGAGAAAAGTGCACAACCCACGACCCTCCTTCCCCATGCATAAAAGTTCCTTATTTACCTTATTTCCCCCTCCCACTTCTTCCCATTCCCATCCACCTTTTCTGGCAAAAAGGAGCCTTTTGCTTGCTGTGACCCTAAGAGCACACTGCACAGGGGGAACTGCCCCCATCTAGACCTGGCTCCACTCTTGGTTTCTCTTGCTCTCCTCTGCTCTTTTCCTGGTGCTCTTTTTTCTTGGTGGGGTGTGGGTACTAGAACAGCCATGGGCTTTTGGGGACCTTTAAATTTTTTTTTCTTCCCTCTTTTGTTTATAAAAACACTAAACATTCAATTCCAGAGAACCAAAAATCCCACCTTCCCACCGAACACTACTAAGGGGCGTATCTTCGGCTCCATACTTTTTCTCTTTTTCTTTCTCTCTTGTTAATGCTTTTACAAACAAATGAGTTTTTTATATAAATAAAGTTTTTAAAGTGTGTATGTGGGGGGTCTGTGTCATTTCTTTGCTTCAAGCTATGTTTCTTCTCTCCTTTTCATTTTGGTTACTTCTTTATGTATCAGCATCCTTTTTTCTTTTCAGGGCAACCAGAAGGAGTTATACCAGTATGATTTATCTTGAGCTCAGTCCCAACTCTTTAACAGCAAAATTCTTTTTAATTTTAGGTGACATTTTTTTTTTTTTTTTTTTACTCTGAAGATTCTTAAGAACTAAATGTGGCTGAAGTAGATTATGGGAAATTTATTGTTAACTTAGAGGTAGGAAACCAAAAGATAAAGAATTAATGACTTCCTTAGTTTCTGGGATTCTTTTGCAACATTTGACAAGACTAGCATTGAATAACACTTCTGAGTAGATTAGAAGCTACCAACCCCATCTGCCATTCTAATAAATAGGAAAATGTATAATTAAAAGGCCTAGGTATATAAATACTGATCGCTGGACCATAATGTTGCTTCTCAGGCTACACACAGTCCTTTAATTGGGATATTAGGTCTATTTATTTGACAGGCCATATTACTTGGTTGGACATCCTACTAAAAATTTCATAGAATACAAAAGATGTTCTATCAAATAATATGTTGTGGGATTACTGGGGATTATCTTTACTGCAGAGGCCAAGGATTGAGACCTATGGAAAGACTTATTTTTCTGAAGCCCTGTGCTCTGTCATATAATGAAAAGACTTGAGAATTTATGTAAAATGTTTTCTGTATGCCCAGATCTTTAGATTAAAAGTATATAGTTGCTCCTAATAATGGTCCTGTCTCATTTTGTTGAACTAGGACTTGGGTATGAAAACTTTCTTGGGCTAGTGAAGCCAGGACATTTAAGCATTATTACTATTAGCTTTTAAAGCTTGGTTTGGGTCTGACAATTATTGTGTTAGACTACAAGGATGAAACCCAAAGCCAAAAAATAATTAATTTGCTTCCAATGAGGTTTGGTAGCCACACTTTGGATGGTTTTTATTTGTATAGAAAACCTTTGGCTAGTGGTCATATGCTTTATTATTCATTGGCATTGAGTTAGGTACAAACTCTGCTTTTCTCCCTTCCTAGCTTAGTCCATTTGCTTTATCTCATTCATTAAATATTTGCCAAGCACTTTCTATGTGCTAAGTGTTGTAGAGGCTGGGTTTATATTAGAGAATGAACCAGATGAATCTTTTCTTCTGGGTTGCAATCCATGAGAATCTTATATAGGTAGGATCTTTTAAGATTATTTCTTTTCTCTCTGCCTTTATGTAAAAACAAGGTGTTAGAATGATCTGTAAAGGCCCTAGATTTCTTAACTTACTTGACAGTGATTTAATAATGCATTTGGATTCTCTTTATATCGCTTGTGCATACCACGTTGAATTATTTTTGGATATGGTCAAGATTTGCTCATATACTTGCAACTTTTTAGAGACTGAATTTTTGTGGAAGTGTTCAAAGATTATGGGCAACCGTTCTACTGCCTCAACAAGGCTTAGTTGTGAACATGTTCGTGAGATAGCTGTGATGAGTCTTCTTGCTGAGACATACTTTCTGTCGGAGCTTAAAGCCATGACCTGATTGGGCCACCTGTTCTTTCTTGTTGAACCGATAATTTGTTTGAAATGAACTGGAAACATCTCACCCAGAAGGAACTAGGGACCAGTTTTTGTATATCATTCTTCTCCATTTTGTCTTTTTTATGGGGGGGAGGAAGGTTTTTGCTATAGGGCGCGTGCGCTCACCAGAAAGAGACAGACAGGAAACGAGACATCACACCCCCCCACCCCCACCTAGGGGGATGGCCATGCCACAATCCCTTCTCCTCCATCTCCTCTCGGGATCTTGGGCACACACACACATGCTCCCAGCATGAATCTAAGGCACCGGGTCTGGGACTCAAACCACAGTTGACTACATGGGAGTCCAGCGATGTAGCCATTAGGCCATCTGCTGGTCCCAATTTTAAAATTTGAAATAAAGGTGATTCTTGGTATTTTCATAGATAGGTATGGATCAACTAGACCTAGCATTTATAGATGAGAGCAAGAACATAAGAATTCCCTGGGATGCTTATTAAAAATGCAGATTCCCATGTTGCATTTCCAAAAATTGACTCAATAGTTGGTTCTCAGGAATCTGAGATCTTGGTAACTCACGTAGGTGGTTCTGATGCATGTAGTCAATTTACTGCAACTTGAGATACTGATACAGTGCCTCACTTCAGGTTGAAAACCTCCAAGTAGTACTCAGAGTGACTGGCTTCAGCTCCACTGGCAGCAATAATGGTTTTATGGTGAGTGTCGATAATGTGATGTGATTAGCACCCTAAGAGAATTCATAGAGGAAATGATGTTATCTTGAAGGAATGAGTTGCTTACAGTAGAATTTGAGGTAATAGTGATAGGAATCTGGGTAGGAAGAGCTTGCTCGGACTAAGAGTCATTCTGGCTACAAAGGTTACTTCAGCTGGGGAGCAAACGACCCAATTACTTGGTAAAAGCCAATGAGGCTGTGTCTGGAAACTTTTAAGTCACTCCACAGAGAGGACCTACTTCAAGAAAGCACCAAAATATGAGACAAGATAATGCTAGAAACACGTTTTTTTTCCATATAACTTTTAAGACTTCTTAACTATCCTACCATCTCAATGTCACTTAAAGCATTAGTCCTCAGTTGAGGCATTGGAAATTGATAGAGATGTTAATGGAGAGACAGCTGAAGAAAGTAAGTTAGGAAAAGCATAGATGAAAATAATCATTTCCACTTCTCTGAGTTATTATTATTATTTTGAGAGTTTTTTGCTATAGGGCATGTGCGTGCGCCAGAAAGAGACAGACAGAGAGACAGAAAGCAAGAAATCACCCCTCCAGGGGGGATGGCCACACCCAAATCCCTTCTCCTCTATTCTCCTCTCAGGATCTTGGGCATGCACGCACATGGGCCTGGCAAGAGTTTAAGCCACCAGCTTTGGGACTAGAACCGTGATCAACTACATGGAAGTCCAGCGACATAGCCGTTATGCCAACTGCTGGTCCCATCTCTGCATTATTATAAGCTGACTTATATCAATATTTTACTAGCTATTTATTTATGATTGGATTGAGTTAAGGTGTCCCACTTGTATTGTTTTTTGTTTGTTTGTTTTTGTTAGTTTAAGTCTTGTTAGAGGTTGTGCATACTTACCAGAGAGAAAGAGAAGGAAAGTGAGAAAGAACCAACCCCTCCCCTCACCCCCAATTGGGGTTGATCACATTACAATCCCTTTTACCTTTCTTCCTCCTTTCTGGATATTGGGCAAGCACCTGTCATGTTTTTCAAGCTGCTGGGGCTGTGACTCGAACCGCACAATTGGCCATGTGGGATCCAGTCACCTTACTCATCTTGCCCTGGCCAGCCCATCACTGATAGAATTGTAGGAGCTATAAGCATTATAAGCAAGTGGCAATGACTTTCTTTTTTAAAACCTGAGAAAAAGGATGGCACTCTATCTTCCTGTGGACAGGGCCAGCGTCTTCCATTTTTATTGAGAGCACAGAATACTATTATACCTTCCTGTCTTCCCTTATCTTAAAATCCCTATTACCTCTCTTGCTAATGGGCAAATAGTCTGAATGACATAAGGCATTTGTGCCTGAGGGAAAGAAGTTTGGGATATTTGTGGTGATGTTCCAGTCACTTCTCTACTTCTTGTCTTTCTTTTTTTCCCTTACACATTTAAGATAGGCTTGGTGGGGGGCGGCCAACAGGTAACGCAGTGGTTAAGACACTGGACTCCTTGGGACCAGCAGTTAATGTAATGGCTATATCGCTGGACTCCCATGTAGTCGAACGTGGGTCGAGTCCCGGACCTGGTGGCTTAAACTCATGTCGTGCCTGTGTATTGGCTGGCCCAAGATCCTGAGAGGAGAACGGAGGAGAAAGGACTGTGGTGTGGCCATCCCCCCTGGGGGGTGATTTCTCTCTCTGTCTCTCTGTCTGGTGAGCGCACGTGCCCTATAGCAAAAAACAAAACAAAACAAAACTCTATAAAAAGAAGACACTGGACTCTACATGGGTGACCACGGTTTGAGTACTAGACCTGGCAGCTTTAAACTTAAACTGGGCATATATGCATGTGTGCCCAAAATCCCAAGAGGAGAATGGAAGAGAAGGGACTGTGGTGTGGCCATCCCCCCCGGTAGGTGATTTCTTTCTGTCTCTCTGTCTCTCTTGTGAGTGCATGCACCCTATAGCAAAAATATCTCTCTCTCTCTCTCTCAAAAAAAAAAAAGGTTTAGTGTTGATCTTTTTACAACTTTTGTCAAAATAGGGCCAGGAGGAATGCAATGTGCATATTTGAAACTAATTCTTCCTTCTGTTTTTGGAAGTATGGTGGATTAGATACTCTGAGTGTTTTTTCAGCATCAGCAATGTAGATGCTGGGCAGATTATATTTATAAAATATACTTTAAACACATTGCTGAATAGGCACAAAATTAGATCTTCAAAATGAAGCAAAAGCTGGAATGCTAGGAAGTAACTGCTGAAGCCAGCTTTTACTTAAGAGACTTTGCCAAACTCAGCAGGCCTTAGCCTTCTCTGTTAATGCCTGGGTACACAGAGGATGGGAAGCAGGATATGTGGGATCTACTGGTAGCCACCCTAAACTGGATACCTTTAGCGAAAAGACAAACAAGAAATAAACACCGTAGAAGGTGACAACAAGATACTTTCTTGCCTCGATGTCGATGCTAAATTTAAAAATATATAGAGTATCTTTGAGAATTCATAACCACAAGATGGCCTCTGGGTTTTCAGTTTAAAGTTAGGCTACCTGTGTGGCCCAAAACACTTTAAGTGGAGAACTTAAAGTGATACTCAGTTGGTTATGTCTCCAGATGATTTCTAGAAGCAAATGATATTATTCCTCTATGATTTCAATGATCACAGATACACTTCAAGGTAAATGAGAGGCCACACTTATAAAATGTACAGAGAAATAAGGTACTGTGAGTACCTTA